TGGCCCGGGCTCAGGCTCTACCACTGTATAAAATAATATAAAATGAGAGCCGTTAATTTTTTTTGATCCAATAACTATAAAAGTAATTATAAGAAGTATTTACCAAAAAAAAAAAAAGTAATTATAAGAAGTTGTAAGGCAAAAGAAATTGTAAGTATAATCTCTCATGCATAAAGAAGGACGTTATATTTACAATATCTATTTATATTATTGAAAAATCATAAATAATACTCACACCTAAAGATTGTGTGAACTTGAAAGAGGTGATCACCCACACTAATTCCTCTCTCGTTCTATTACTAATTACTATGGAGTGATAAATTAGTCAAAATATACTTGTGAATATTAACTAATCTCAATTAAAAAAAAATTAAAAATGAACATGTTATAAAAGGGAATTTTTTTAATAGAAAAGAGGGCATAGCCAAAAAAAAGGGAACAAAATTAGATATAATTTAGACGAGGTCTATATACTCCCAAATAATTATAAAAAAAGTTGACATATTTGGTGAATCTTTCGTCAACCTTAATTATTGCTTGGGTTAATTTTGATCTTGCACAAATGCATTCATTTTCTTAACCTAAATTTTTGTATATGCACATGAATGATTGACTCTCTAAAGAAGAAGAACATTTTTAAGTAAAAGGGAAGTTTATACGATTGCCTTGTTATCAATGTCTCTTAGAAGCATATTATGGGAGTTATCATCAATATTTTTATTTTGTCTCTAAGTACGTGACTTATCAAATATTTGTTAATTATGATTTCAAAATAAATATTTAAAAATTTAAAAATAAATGTAAACTTTAATTATTTCATTAAAAAATAAAATAAAAATTACATAATATTTGTTAGTAAACATACGGGTGCATGATATTAGGATATAAGAGTAATTTCATCCAAAAACTTAAATCCATAAAAGAATAAAGTAATTCATTCTTCAAAAACTATGTTCTAAGTTGGGCTCTTTGACCATACTAGGGTCTTCCCACATTCAATACACTGATTTGATATTGGGTGGCAAGATTTTATCTTTGGGAGATGTTTTGTTCTGCATAGGGGTTCAAGTGGGTTTGAGTCATGCCCTCTCCCGCGGAACACATTTTTGTTTTTGTTTTTTAAACAAAGAGTTCCGCCCCTTGGGAACTCAAATGACTCATAATGTCTCGACGATCCTCTCCTATAAATATCCCTCCAGCCCTTTCACTCCCCTCCCATTTTTTATTTCCCATTTTGGTGTTCTCTTCTATAAACGAGGTTAGTTTATACAATTATATATTACAATGGCATAATATATGAAGGTGCTACATGATGAACGTTTGAGGGACAAATCAAAGGAATACAAATACGATGCGGGGTGAGCTTGCACGATTTAAAATCAAAGATTGCAGAGAAATTAAATCCCGGTCCAAATTAGTCAGTGTCTCGGTTAACCGGCCGGTAACATACAATTGAATTATGATGCTCCTTCACATCGCTGGAAAAATACATCTGTACAGGATGAAGATGGTGCAGCTCACGTGAATATTGATTTGGGTGCTCAGATGAACAGGTAAAAAAAACCCTAAATATTAATCACATATTATTATGTAAAATCTCTAAATATAATTAATTATACATGCCTACATTAGAATAACATAAAAAATTATCGCGTTTAATAACTAATAAAAATAATAACTAAGAATTAACCACAATATAATTAAAAATAAATAAATTTAGGAAAAATTGTTTATCCTTTTAAATAACACAACTTATATCATTTCACTCTCACAAAGAGGTGGGACCCACACCTTTGTTTTTTTGTCCACTCTTTTCCTTCTTTATCTATCTCTTTCTCTCACTTAAAATGACATACACTTTTCTCATAAATTTAACCAAGTACTAACCTTTATTTGGATTGAGGAATGTCGAGATGATGATTAATGTAGAGAAATTGGTTGAGAAGAAATTTTGAGCAGAGAGAATAAGAGGATTAAAGAAGAGTAGAGAGAATTGGAGAAGAAGTAGGGAGAAATGGAAAAAGAGGGAATGAATTATGAATAGATAGAGTGTTATTTATAGGCTAGAGAAAGGGACTTGGACGACCGAGATTGTATCACGTGACACGTTGTACAAGGGGTGGAACTCTTTTTTTTAAAAAAAATAAAAAAATAAACACATGTACCAAATGGGAGTAGGAGCTGGACTTGGGGGGGATTTCGAATTCAAACAATCCCTCTCGAGAAGGTTAGCGGAACTGTTTGAGAAATAAAATATATATATATATATATATATATATATATATATATATATATATATTTCATTAAAGGGAAGGGGCGAAACTTAAACACGCTGGGATCCTGCATATGGAACAAAATTCCCCCAACGGTAAAATCTTGCCACCCAATATCAAACATGTGTATTGAGTGTGGGAGGACCACAATATGGTCATAGAGCCTTCCAAGTAGGGGTGTAAATGGGACAAGCTGGCCCGGCCCAGCCTACAGCCTGGCCTACATTAAGCCTGGCTTGGCCGGTCCTTTCAAAAAAGTAGAGTAGGCTTAGGCTTTTAAGAAAGCCTTTTTAACAAATAGGCCGTAGACCAATTTTGTCAAGCCTGGCCCAAGGCCTTATAGGCTGGCCTATTTAATTTATTAAAAATAAAATAATATTTATTTTATGTGACACGACAAAGTACCAATACCAGTACCTATGTAATTTCTCTTGTAGACTTTATTTCAGCACCCAATAATTGTATTTTTCTTATTTTTCCCATTTCTTTGACTCTATTCCTCTATGATATACATTCTAGAGCTGGGATATTATGTTGACTTTTTCTTGTTTCTTATTTTTTTCTTATGAGAAGTACTAGTGCATGCATGAATGGAACTTTCTTTGCTCTATACAATTATTTTATTTGCTTAGTATCTACAGTGGTATGCCTACAAGGCCTGTAGGCCATGTCAGGCTTTCTTATTTTTAAAAATAGGCCAGGCTTGGCATACAAATAAAGCCTTTAATAGGCCAGCAAGCTAGATAGGCTGAATTTTTTTTTACGTAGGCTTGGGCCAGGAAGGTCAAAGCCCAGCCCAGCCCAGCCCATTTACACCCCTACTTCCAAGTCGAGCCCTGGTGCATAATAAAGAGATACATGCCAATAAATATATAAAGAAAAAATTAATCCCAAAAGTTTAAACTGCTGGGTAATGCTACATTAATATTTTTATATATCTCTAACACGCCCCCTCACATGAGAGTTCATTGGGCTTGAAGGGTAGATGATGTATCGGGCTCAACCTATCTGTGCTAAGAAACTCCACAAGACTTAATTAATTATTAATTAAATGAGGGGCAGTAAGGATCGAATTCGTGACATCGAGGCTCTGATAGCATGAAAGAATCAATTCAACCCAAAATTTTAAGCTGTTGGGTGAGGTTACATTAATAATTTTATATATTTCTCACGAAATATTTGTTGATGAAGTGAGTATAACAGTATGATAAAAATGTAAAGTAGGAGAAGTCCACAAAAATAAAAGCCAGAATATCTAAGTACCATAGGCTATCTTTTTTGACGATATTGCAATCTTTATTCTTCCTCCACGGTTCTAGGGTTTGTTTTTTTATCTTTGCATTTGTCCTGTATATATTTATCCGATTTAGTCGGTTTAATTTGTAATTCATTGGTTGAACCAATAATTCCGTAATCCAATAGTTTGGTATTCAAATCGAGTCATTGGGTCAAATTTTATCATATTTGTTCCGATCTGATAAATCGGGATGTCCAACCTAATGGTTGGTATGTTTCTGTTGGATCTGTGCCCTATCTCAGGTATTTATAAGAAAGTTACTTTAGAGATCAACGAATTACTGTGCACTATAATAAACGACATAGCCAAAAGATGGGGTGTGTGCACAATGACAGATAAGAGAAAAAGTTTAGAATTTGTATACCTTATTGACTTAACCCCTTATTTATAGATGTGTTACCTGGAAAGAGAGTACTTCAGGGCCTCTTAGGAATATGAAGAGCTCAAATCTAACTGCTTAGTTGTTTGGATAGAATCGTCATTAAAAACAATTTCCTTGTACTGTCTTTTATTGAACCTTATAAAATATGGACCTTTCTCATATCCATTCAATTTTCCAACACACTTGTGGTATCCATCCAACTACATGTTTTGAGCCTTATTAAAATCTGAAATCCGTCTTGAAATTTCTTCTTTTCCAATTAATGCCAGCCTTGCAAGCATGGACATAACAAATAACACGGATATAAATATAAAAATTTATAGGACACGATACCAAATTAGTATAAAATAACATAATAAAAACATAAATTTTAAATCAAAAGGGCAAGTTAATGTTTTGAAATATAAAATAAGTGAAAGTGTAAACATAATAAAATACAATCATTTGTCTAATTACTATGATTTTCTTATTTGTATAAAATAAAAGTTTAAAAAAAAATTGTACGACATGGATACTTAATCGTGAAGTTTGTGACACGGATTCATACTTATTCGACAAGGTATCGGTGTCTTTTGATTGCTACCTATTGCTTGATTCTTCGGAGAGGGTTGGCAATTTTTACTTAACTTGTGATGCTAAAATGGTAAGTTGTCATTTAAACTTGATGCTGTAACTATCGTATTGATTAATTCTTCATTCTGAATATTATAAAATAGTAAATTTATCCTTTTATTTTTAGAAGTAAGATCAAACAATTTTAAACTCATCATATTACTCAAAAATAAGAATATATAACAAGGACCTACACCACTGCTCATTTCTACCAAAACAGTGACAGACCAGAATTTTTTTTAACATTATTTAATACGAGAAATCATAGTTATTTCTAAAATAGCCCTGCATAAGTATACATTAACTCATTTCCGATTCAGTTCTCCAATACATAAATATAGAAGAAACAAAAAAATGATGCACTTAGATGCTATGTTACCCGGCATACGATACCACGACGTATTAATTCTAAAAAAACTATCATAACTGAGAAGAGTCAAATAAAATATTGATGTTTTTCAATTTTCATTGAGATTTTGAATAATTAAAAAATGAAAGAAAAAATTGTAAAAATAGGAATGCGGTTTTTCTTTCTCTCTTCACCTTTTTGAATAATTAAACGCTGGCCCTTTCTTTACAAAGAACATATTAGTATTATGAATTGAGACCGCTGGCCCTAATTTTACAAAAAACAGTTAAGAAAATCAAAAGACTCAGAATTCGACTAGAATGGATATGCAAGCTTATGGAGAAGACACTATCTCATCAACTTTGATGTCTTGCCCACCCCATTTCCGCATGCGTTCAGTTGTTTGTTCCACCTACAAGTGTGAAGAATCAGATTACTAAAACCAATTACAATCTCTGATTTTAATTATTTACATTCTAATATTGAAAAAGTTAACGTGAATGCAAAGTGTCACTTTTCCGTAATACTCGAATAAAACTGCGTACAGAAGTTTGAGAGAGAAAGAGAAGCATTGCGTGCCTCTTTATTCCAATTGGTTTTGTAAAGGATGAACAAGAGCACCAAGGTCTGGAGAGTTATTCCACATATCATACCTCCCCAAAGTCCCTATAAGGGAAAATAATATCAGAATCATTAGGGAGAATTGTCTATTTCACTCTCTCTCTCTCTCAGTTTTCATTTTATTATTTTTTAATATTTTACCTATAAAAGTATAAAACAGTTACAGAGTATATTTTGGACAAAGAAGAGCATCACAAACAAACATTTAAGCAGGCATCAGCATGTATATAAATAGTTTTCACTTTACGGAAAATAAGAGTATAGCAATGAACAAATTTGTTATTTTCCTTTTCTCTCATTTTTGCAGATCCAAATTGCGAAAAATCAATTTGTTTAACTACATTTAAGAATTTATTTAAGGTGTTAACGATGGAAATAGAATAGTGTAGTGAGTCCATTACCCGAACCCCCAAATTTGCAGCATAACCAAGAAGGTACCCCAGTGGAATACCAAACAAGTAATAACAACCAACATTGATGTAAGCCACCAGTGTTTGCCATCCACCTCCAATAGCAACACCTGTAAGAAATAAGAATGATCTCAAAGTTGTAAATAGGATACGATAAGACTAAGAGGATGATGAGGAAAATGGCAATCAATTCATACCTGAAATCACAGGTTGAACGCTATTTAGAACCATTGTCACGGCAAGGAGGTAGCCTAGTTTCGCAACCGCTCCTTGCAAAGGCTTACTGCTTGTAAAAATGATGGCATAATAGTCTTTAGTTACCAAAATAACAGCCATGAAAAATATTCCGATAAGTAGAGACTGAAACACTGTCACATAGACAGAGTATTTGGCAGCTCTCGGATGTCGAAGTCCAAGTTCATTGGAAACTCTCACACTGAAAATAAGAAAAACACAAACATGAACCACACATGATTAACAGAAAAACCTTCATTGCAACCAATGCTAATAGTATGAAGTTGTTATACATAGTAGACGTAGACCTGAAACAGATTCAGATCAAGGAACCTAGCATCTAGGTACCTTGGAATTTCATTAATCATAAATTGGAATAGAAAACAGTAAGACATAACTTTTTGGCCGCATACCTGATAGCTGCATTCACTCCAATAAAGATCATGCCTTCCCATCCATTGTAATTCATGCTATAAACATCATTGAATGTATTAGCAAAAGGTTACAAGACATCTATGCAGCATAAATATGCCATTACAATAAGCTGGGACTACATACAGGGCTTTGTTTTCTTATTATTAAAGGAAATGCTTGTGTATGGGCATGAAAGGATGATCTTACCATATAGAGATGGAATCAACGGCTATCACTGCATTATCAAGGTGGCCAGCAAGAAGTATGAGGCTCATCATATACCATATTTCAAGGCAAAGCATTACAGCTGATGCAAGGGAGAGCCTGACAAAGGCCCATATATCCTTAAAAGCCAACCATGTTAATCCATTCCATCCATCCTTACACCAACCCACAACATAAACAAGTTGAGCCACTGTAATTCCCCAACTAGTGATATCAAATGCCAATGCTGCACCAGTTAAGCCCAAATCTAATACATAAATCAAGAGCCAGAGCAATCCAATGTGAACAATTAGAGCCACGAACCCAATCCAGGCAATGACGATAACCTTACTTTGAGCTTGAAGGAACTTTTGGGTTGGGAAATTAAGGCAAAGTGAAAGAAATTGAGGAATTACTAAAAGAGAGAAACTTCCAGCAAGATCAGCTATATCATTCTGTTGGCCAAGAAGCTTTAAAATTGGAGCAGCAAAAATGTATATTGGCAAGAGCAAAACACTGCTCACAAATAAAATTACCCACGAGCGTTGCATATAAACACCAAGCAAATTAAGCTGCCCAGCTCCAAAAGCTTGACCGCAGAGTGTCTCAGTTGCGCTCCCCATGCCAAGCTACAGGTTTTGTGCAATACATTAGATTTTGTACTTTAAAAACAACATTTGTTAACAAGTACTATCTCTACAATTTGGTTTCCATTATGCAGGCAAGTTTTCCTAATGCCTCTTGAAAGATACCCGACAAAAAAAAAAAAAAAACCCATCAAGGACATTGGGAATAAAGGAAATAAAACCAAAAAAGATTCTAAATTGAGCTAGAACCAAATACAAATCCAAAGGATTCAAATTATGGAAAATACTTGCTTAGTTTCACAAAAATCAGTGAGAAAACGGAATTTAAAATAAAAAAGAATTAAATTCAGCTTCAAACTCTGGTTTTCCTTCCATGAAACTAAGCTACACTCCAGAGTCCAGACACACCAAAACCTTTCATTCAGCTATAATTAACATGAGCAGAAGGAAAAGTAAATATTCATATGTTTGTAGCAAAACAACATATACATATTTACGTACATTCATTGAAAACCTTTCTAGAGAGAGGGAGAGACAGAGAGAGGGTAGAGAAGATACTAACCATGAAGCCAAAAGCGAAAGTGCCAATAACAGAGTTAATGAGAGAGACGGCAGAGAGCTCAATATCGCCGAGATGGCCAACGAAGATGCTCGTGATCGAGTTCACACCATATTGACATAATATGTTGAAAATTATGGGAAATGCTATCTTCCATATTCTCACAGTTTCTATCCAGAACACCTTCCTCGCCTCCTTGAACCCCTTCACGGCCACGTAGTCGCCGTCCTCTGCCACCAGCGCTGACGCCACCCCAGCGCCGTTGAGGAGAGGAATGTCCATGTCAACCACCGCACACGTGTATGGCAGTGATCGATCGTTGAACTCCGCACGGCCACACTGCAGCTGGGGCCTAGAGCTGTTGAAACAACACAAGACTGTGTTGCATATACTTATAAATTATAATCACTCTCACTCTCTATCTCTCTCTCTAGTTTAATAATGATACATCGTAGGATTTATTTTATTTTATTTTTATTTTTTAACATTATTATGATGATTATGAGAATATTTTTTACGGTACCAGATTTGACCCATGCGAGAATGGAAAACGAGAATATGAGGAATTAGAGAGCGTTTGTGATGGGAGAAATTTTTTTATTATGATTTTTAGAAATATAATGTAAAAATTAATTTTTTGAAAATATTGACAAAAAATTATGTGATAGGTAAAATATAATACAAGGAATATTTAATAAGTTTTTTCTTTTTCACCTTTTTTTTTTCTATTTTCCATCAATGGGTGGTATTTTTGGATGAAATTTTCATTCACAATTTACCCATAAAATAAATTTTCAGATAAATCATTTTTCAGGATAAATTTTCGGAAATATGATATCAAACATGGTCTTCTTGGAAACTCACCCCACTTTCTGGGTATATAAAAAAGAGAAAAGGATATTGTAGCAACTAAGTAGTGTTACTACCAATCAATTTTATTTTTAAATCGATTATGTTGATCGAACGGTTATATTTATTTCCATCTTTGTATGATTATAATTTTCTCGTATTTATTAATTTGTATTTATTTTTATCTTTGTATAGTTATGATTCCCCATATTTAATGCTTTTACATTAAACATGGGGAATTATAACCATACAAAGATGAAATTAAATATAATTGTTGCATCAACATAATCGATTTAACGGTGAAATTAATTGGTAGTAATATTGGTAGTAACACTACTTGGTTGTTACAATATCCTTCTCCCTAAAAAAATTCCCCAACCAAATATCTCCTAAGTATCTATCAAAGCGATGTGCAAAATAACCAAAAAACTGAACCGAACTAAACTGCACTTAAAATAATTGATTTGTAAAGAACCAGTTCGTGAAGCGATCCGATTTTTAGAACCAGTTCAAGAATCAAATTATTTTTTAACCGAACCAAATTGATTTTTATTACTTTATCTTTTAAATTTTTTAAATTTTTTCATAATAAGGTCGACCGAAATCGGTTCCGAATCGAACCGAACCGTTTCCAACCAAACCGAACCACTTTCGAACAGAATCAAATCGGTTTTGAACCAAACCGAACTGAACTAGTTTTGAACCAAACCAAGCCATTTTCGAAGCAAATCGTTTAAACCAATTCGATTCGGTTTTTCAAAAAAATTCAGTTCAGTTCGACCCGTGCACACCCCTATCATATAACAGAAAAATGTGTTTACATTGACTGCAAATAAATTATCTGTATTTATTCTCAAAATGGTATTATTAGGTTGAAAGATTAAAAAATAATTATAAATACTATTATAACTTTGAAATAAATTAAAGTTATAAAAATATCTTAACTTTTATTTCAAAATGATCGTTTTAGACTTAATATAGATAAGTTATGCAAAAATAGAATCATATAATTACGGTCTCTAGTAAAATTGAAAACACATAGTTGTATACTCTGAAACACAGACTCGCAATTTTTTCTGAATTGTGCGTGTCGGACACGTGTCTGACACGGACACGCTCCGACACGCGGTCAATATTTTGGGATACGTTGTCAACTCTCTGACACGCTTTTTCAACACGCAGTCAACTTTTTTCGACATGTGGTCAAAGCTCGGATACGTTTTTTTTTTTAGTCTTAATTTTATTTTATTAACTAAAAATTAAAAAAAAATCATTTATAAATCAATTTTTTTCTGTTATGAAATTTGACATGAAAAATTAATAAGGTACGAAAAATTATTTTTGTTTATATTTATGTTATGAAATTTGAATATTTGATTAGTTATATGACTTAGTATGGACTATTATATCTATTAAATATAATTATATTATATATATTAAAAATATTATTTAATATCAAAATGTGTCCCAACGTGTCGAAATATGTCATTTTTTAGAATTAATGTGTCGACGTGTCATGTCATGTCTCGTGTTCCGTGTCAGTATCCGTGCATCATAGGTTGTATATTAAAAAAAAAAAACATAGTGTTTGATTATTTTAGTCTTTGATTAAAACATCCTATGTCATCGGGTCAACTTTCGGATGAAGTTGAGATTTTCGAGTTTTTTCAACAAATTATTATTATTAGAATTTGATAGTAGTTGATTAAATTCTTGTAAGTTACATTTTTTTAGAATTTGAAAGTATTTATTCCAAAGCTAATCTTTTTCTTTGTGAGAAATTACATGATTTGAAAATTTTACTCTATATTAATCTGTCCAAAATTCTTCAACTCATAGAACTATCACTTCATTGTGGTAATTTTTACAATTTTTTCTGTAAGTGTTGTTTCCTTTTATTACATATTTTAATTTAAGTCATTTGATATTACAATTTTTTTAATGTAATTGTTTATATTGTGTCATTAAAAGAGTTATGTTATGATGATAATTATATAATAGGTTAATTGTAACGATCTAAAATTCAGTATTATATTTAATCGTGTCTCCTTTTATTTTTCTTTAATTTTTTATGTGTTTGAATAAAATTTATTCCTTAAAATTTGAAAAATTGTGGACTAGTTATAAAAAATATACAGCAAATAATTGAAAAATTAAATTTTTAGGATGATATTTATATACAAATACAATTATACAAGAAATAGTTCAACATATCAAAACGATAAAAAAACATTGGAAAAGCATATTTTGTTAATAAAATATAGGAAAATTATATTTTCATTTTACATGAAAGTACTTTCTCATATTACTTTCATATAAAAAAATGTGCCCTTTTTTTTAAAAAAATTTAGTGGGCCACATTTTATTTGTCTCTTATCATAGGAGAACTTGTCTTCCATTATATGAGAGAAATAATCCACTAAAACATAATAGACAAATAAATAATAATATAAAAAATTTACACACACACAAAATAAGAAGAAAATTATTTTCTCTTCCAATATTCACGTGATGATTAACTTTCTACAAATGTCCGCTGTATTAATTTAATAACTCCATTAGTTCATATTATTTTGTAAGGCACATATTTTCAAATTACAACTATATTATCATAGATTTGAGGTTAGAATTAGTAGCCAACAAAGGTGGGTACAGTTGGCTAAAAGTTTCGTCCACATCCTACAAGAGCGTGAATTCAAATTCTACTGGCTGATGTGAGGACTTTGTTGGTCGATAATGTGAGATATCGATTTCTAACTCCACTTAAACTTCTTTGTATTAAAAAAAAAATTAGTAAAACAAAAATAACAGTAACGCATATAAATGGGAAAATGTAGAATATAACCTAAACTACACATCTTTCCAAGAGTCTCCTCTTAAAAAGGATCGAGAGATTCAGATTCAAATAACTAATTTATATATTTTATTAAAAAGTTCTAACATTTTTATTTTTGTTGGTAAAAAAAATTAAGGAGGCAAAATCTCAAGTTTAATACTTTTTTTTTGTTTACTTTTAAATATCAAAATTATAAGATCGTATGATTTTTATTATATTTTTTAAAGTTAAAAATACTTATTTATAATATTTGGACTAATTTTATGCAACTTTTCTTAAATATAATTAATCAGATCTGTGAATATTGAGCGGATGCACGAAAATGGAGCTAGGAATTTACAAAAAAAAAAATGGAGCTAGGATATTTAAATCAATTAGAGAATGGAAAAGTGAGTGAACCTGAAATCACATTAAAGTGGAAAATGACATGCGTGTCAGAGGAAAAGCCTTGGAAGTTGAAAATGAGTGAAGTTTAGTAAGATGCATGTTGTAAGATCGGCCACGTCACTTTTATTCACCATCCAATTAATGAAATGGAAACTCTAGTACATAGTTGCTTCTTTTCCTTTGTGTTGCCACGTGATCATGCGTACTGCTAGTGCTATATCACAATAGTAAAAAATTCAATTTATTACTATAATATTATATTTTTATGATTTTTTATCAAAATAATTTTACTAATATTTCATACATTTTTATAATATTTCAGAATTTTTTTACATTATGAATTTATATTTTATAAATTTATATTTTTTTGATTTTATATAAAATCTCGATTTTCATTACATTCGCTAGAATCACAAAAGAAGGAACTATATATGCTTTTTCTATTTTTATTTTATTTTATTAACTACTGTCTTAGAGAGTTTGTTAAAAATATATAAAATTTGATAATTTAAAAAGTATTTTTTATTTCTTTTATTTTTAACTTGTGATCTTTAAATAATTTTTTTATTAGTTTTAAATATAAGGAAATTCTATCTTATAGTTATATCCAAGTGGTAAGAATATTTTATAAGAGATTTGTATTAATTAGTTTGACAAATTATAATTAGTTGCAAATATTAATTTTTCTGCCCAGTTAATTAAATTCAATCAAGTTGGATTGATTTGGTGTAGTATTTTAAATTTTTTTAATGTACCCGTACTAAACTAATCTGACCAAGGTCAGGTTGGTTCGGTTTAACCGTTTAAGTCATCTACTTAAAGAAAAAGCATTGTTTTTTTTTTGTTATGTTTTTGTTTTTTTGTATGCTTTTATGTATTATATTGTTTTTGTATTTAAAATTTACAATTTTTACTACTGCAAGATTAGATATTTGTTTTACATTATCTAATTCAGTAATACAATCAAATCTAAACATTAATACTATGGAGCTGCAAATAGTGATCAAAGTGTTATTTTTTTGTTAAAATTTTTATTCAAATGCCACGAAAACAGTAACTTTTATCAGACTGTCATGTGTCTACTAGTGTTAGTAAGTTTCGTGGCTAATAATTTTCGTGACACGTGACCATATTGCAAACCAATTTTGCTACCACTATATCACGTCAACTTTTTCCTGCGAAAGTGTGTCACATGTCATAAAATCATTGACGAACATAATTTGTTATCAGTTATAGCGAATTATGCCCACGTGATCTGATA